CCTCCCCTCTAGAACCCTCAGTTTGTTTTTCAGAGTCCCTCGTCTCTCATGGTTCATCTCCCCCTCCGACTTACTCCCCTTCATTCTTCCCCTCCTGCTATCTTCTTCTTCTTTTTTCTTAACATATGTTGCATTATTTGTTTCAGAGGTACAGATCTGTGATTCCACAGTCTTGCACAATTCACAGTGCTCACCATAGCGCATACCCTCCCCAATGTCTATCACCCAGCCACCCCATCCCTCCCACCCCCCACCACTCCAGCAACCCTCAGTTTGTTTCCTGAGATTAAGAATTCCTCATATCAGTGAGGTCATATGATACATGTCTTTCTCTGATTGACTTATTTCGCTCAGCATAACACCCTCCAGTTCTATCCACGTCCTTGCAAATGGCAAGATCTCATTCCTTTTGATGGCTGCATAATATTCCATTGTGTATATATACCACATCTTGATCCATTCATCTGTCGATGGACATCTTGGCTCTTTCCACAGTTTGGCTATTGTGGACGTTGCTGCTATAAACATCGGGTGCACGTACCCCTTCGGATCCCTACATTTGTATCTTTGGGGTAAATACCCAGTAGTGCAATTGCTGGATCGTATGGTAGCTCTATTTTCAACTGTTTGAGGAACCTCCATACGGTTTTCCAGAGTGGTTGCACCAGCTTGCATTCCCACCAACAGTGTAGGAGGGTTCCCCTTTCTCCGCATCCCCGCCAACATCTGTCAAATAAACTGACATTTAAATTACACATTCCCTTAGCAGGCTGTTCAAAATGTTTCTGGGCTGATGGAAAATGTAACTGTCAAACACACATTCAATAAATAACCCTGACTATTGCTCCCCTACCACCAGGTGCTGGGTATAAGGTGTGGACAAAATTTCCATGGCCCCTTGTGGATTTAATTTTTGTCACAGAACTGTCCACCAGAAATGTGTGTAACTGTAAATGTTCTAGCATCCATACATTAAAAAAAAATGTAAGCTTAATGTCAACAATATATTTTTTTAATTCACATCGAAAATATCATTGCAGTGTGTAATCAGTATAAAAATTATGAATGAGATGTTTTACATGCTTCACACTGAGTTTTGAAAACCCAGGGTATGTTTTATACTTCACAGCACATCTCAAGGTCCACGTGCCCAATAGCCACATGTGGCTTGTGGCTCTCACTGAGATTGGAAAGCACAGGTTAGTGAAAGAGCGTATAACCAGTATGCAATTACACCCTGTGCTAAGAGCCAAGGAAGAAGTACAGTGATAAAGAATGTATAGGCCTGCTTTGGTCGGTGG